AATCCTGCCTAGCCATTCCAATAATATAAACACATATACGATGCGTTGTGCCACTTGGCTAGACCTGGCATTGGTTGAGATGGGTGGCTGTAGAAATAAAATTTTAAAAACTATCTTTTTAGTAATCTTGGATTACAATTATGAATTTAAAGGTCTGAGGCACGAAGGTCAAGCTGTTTTGGGAAGTTACTGTCCAAAAGCACAGAAGCCTTTTGAAACTGATCTGAGGGCTTGTAGTTCTTGTGTTGTTTGATGGCCATCAATTTGCTGTTTGAAAAGGGATGAGACACGATAATGGGGTAGAGGGTTCCCAGGCTGCAGTCTTAATAGTTGTGTACTTCTAACCAGAATTAGAGCAAGGTGTTCTCAGGATCATCTGCTAGTTGACCAACAGTGGAATAAGAGGAATATCTTTCCAGGTGATAGAGGACTGTGCTACACATCATGTTGAGCTAGAGAGGCCTTTGAATCGGTTTGCCATTTTTCTTATTTTCTTAAATCAGTGTAAAATTTGTTGTCTTTTGTTTTCTTTCACAAAGGCTTTCCAGAGAAAACAGAAAGATGTCATTTTCTAAATTGCAGACAATGCTGCCTGTCATCTTATCCACACAACAAAAAAGATATATGATCACAACATGGCTCTGCAAAATCACATTCCTTCAGTGTTTTAAATTACTATATACAGGGTTGGAATGTAGATTTGTAATGGGAATTGTTGACTTTTAGCATCATTCACATTCTTTTGAGTTTACAACCAGTCCCATCTCCTAATGCTCTCCCATTATTGCTGAAAGCTCGAAGAAGTGATGAAACATTACTTTTGTTCCTATTTAGTCACAAGATATATTATAATATATCTTGTGTCCAAGGTTTGATCCCAGTTGTCATTACAAGGGGGAATGTAATTTAAGGTATGAACGCCTTGCAAATCCCTATGGCTGGCATTCCTTTTTGTTCCTTATGAGCAAGTCTTGCTACTTACCTGCAAGGGTCATTTATTGAACAAACAAAAAAGCTTTTTTCTGAATGTCTTTGCAGAGATTCTTCTGGCTCCCTTTTCCTGTGAGAAATCTTCCTTTCTCAATAACCATTTCTCTTGTAAAGTAAACCAAATGGTTCAAATCTTAAATCTGAAGTAAAGGCAACCACTGTATATGTGATTTCTGATATTCTTGGCTGCGGTTTCACATCCATCCCTGGTCAGCAAACATTTGGAAAGAAGGATCAATTCACACTGGGAATTATTTGAAGATGATTAGTAACCCTTTGTCACCTTTATTTTATCCTTTATTATTTGCTAGTCTAAGACATTTTTGATCTCTGAGACAATCACAAATTTACATCCCCAAAATCTGATTGCCAATGGCTGATGTTGTTACTTCAATAAATGTTTAAAAATTGTAATGTTCTGCCCTTTTATGAAACCCCAATTATCTATTACATTTCCTCAATAGGTTCTGGTTTCATGATTATCCAGAATATAAATGTTGACGTAGCCAAAAGTCCTAATTGAATCATGAAAATAATTGATTGGATACCTCCCTTTTATAGCAATGAATACCTAACTGTAAACTGAAGCAAAAGAAAAGGTCTGTTAGCCAAGTCTTTAATTTGGCAATGTTGTCTTGGTATACTTGAACCAAGGAAAACTTATATCCAAGTCATCCTTTGTTTGTAAGCACCAAGAATAGTAACCTCTCATATATTTACATGCACTCATCAAGGTCTCAGAATTACTTAGATTATATCCCACAATTGTAACAGGATTCCAATACATTTCTGAATCAGTGAGCTTATCACAAATAATGCTTGCAAAAGCCTTGTTCAACAGAATTACCTAACATCAAGACAGGGAACTGCATGGGAATCAGAGTACCAGCGCTAGGTTTACCAGATATGCAAGCAGAGGTCCCAGTCTGTCCTGTGTTAACCTGAAATATAATGCATGTGCATGAAACAGGACCAAAACACAATTCTAAATTTTGGGATTCAAGAGCTTGCCTACCATATACTTTAGAAAACCAGATCAGTTGTCCCATTGTCTTTTTCCAACCTGACAGCCGTTACCACAATATGACAGGAGAACCACAAGTACACGTAGCTCTGATGCTTCCCTACATCGCTGTACTCACTGCTCTCCTCAGAGACTGGTCAAACCCCTGAAGCAGGCAGCATCTTCCTTGGCATTTCCCCCCATGCCATAGAAGAATTATAAGAAAGGGAGCAGGGGTGGGCTTCAAAAAATTTTAGCAAAGGGTTCTCTGCCCGGTTGCTGGGTGGGCATGTCCACGGTGGGTGTGGCCTAGTCAACCTCTTGCACCATGTTGGGGGTGTGTGCTTTTTGCTCTCCCCAGGTTCCGGAGGCTCTCTGGAAGCCGGAAACAGGCCCATTTCTGGCCTTCCCAAACTTCCAGAAGGCCCGTTTTTCACTCTTCCCAAGCCTCCGTGCACACCATGCATTTATCTGCATCAAAAACAGGTCACGTGGGGACTCCTGGGAGGGAAGGGGCAGAGGGGTCAGGGCCAGCCAGGAGTGGGATTTGGGGGTTCTCTCAAACCCCTGCGAACCCCCAGCAGCCCACCCCTGAAAGGGGGGGCCAAAATCCAAATTGCCACTGATCAGTGGTCAGACTAATCCATGTGCATTGTGCAAACTAGATATGAGATGGGAACATTCCTCATTCCTGCTCCACTCCCACCCCACCACTAGCTTTATCGGTTGCAGAATAGCGGAGATAGCAAACTTTTTGGGCTTGGTATGTCAATTTGGAAAATGCCTAACCTGACTCTGCTGACGTGTCATCTGTCCCTCCAGTATCTAAACAAAAAAGCTAATTCTCTCCCCCATCACCACCATCACCATCCAGGCCAACCTGAATAGAAGCACTCAGCAGTGCCGAGGCTGGGCCTGAAGCAGAGTCCCAGGCCTCCACTTCAACCCTAAAGCTGCTGCTGCCACTCAAAAAAGTACCTTGTGCCATTCCCCAAGGCACATGAGCCTTGGAGAATTGTGCCATTGCCCTCACGGCCTAGTACTCTGGAACTGCCATCCACTGCTTACTTTCAAATGGCATTCTCTTTCTGGTGGCAGGCCCTGAGGCCTACCTGAGGTTGCTCTGTGTGGCGAAAGACCTTTGTTCTTGAAACAGCTCCTAAAAATGCTCTTCTGTGGCCTACAAAAGCAATGCAAAAGCACACCCCGTTCTCATGCAATTTTTGGAAGCTGCAGACACCATACGAGAACATGGCTCTCTCTCTCACACACACATGACCCACTGGAGGGTTCAGAGGACACACAAAAGCATACTTCTCATATGGCCTCCACACTCCCCCCCAAAAAGTGTGAGAACAGAGCATGGTTTTGAGAATAGTTGTTGTCAGGTGTTGGTGAATGTTGGCATGTTACCTGAAATGTCATAGCATGTTACCTTTTACACGTGTGTCATAGCTTTGACATCACTGCAGTATAGCTAATCCTTTTATTTCTTTTTTAGAGGGCTGCATCAGGCTGAATAAATATAAATTCATACACGGGCCAGGTTTAGCTGGCTACAAGTCATTTTGATAGGAAGACTGAACCAGGAAGGGAGAAAAAGAAGGCAAGAAATGTCTCATTGGACAATTAACGACTGTGTCTCCCACATGCAAAAACCTTTCTTGCTTTCTCTTCTTTCTCACTTGATTGAGAGCATTTTCTACAGCAATGCACATATGAAACGTTTTTCTGAGCAATCACAACATATCTTGTTTTCTTATTTAAGGAAAATAAAGTTTATTTTAAAAGGCTTTTGACTAAGAGTGCATTTTTTTTAAAAAAAAAAGTACATAATCTTCTGAAGGTAAGCACACTAGCTCCCCAGGCCTTGCCACTTCATCTCACTGTCCTCTTGTTCCTGTCCTGGGTACAGGGCTACTTCCAGTGGGGTCCAGCAGTGTCTTCAGACCTTGATTTGTTCCAGTTTGGATAGAAAAGCCAGAAGCCTTTGGCTGATTAAGAGCAGGAAGGTCACCTTGCGTTTTAGAGGGGCCATACTGGGGGCATTCAGTAATTCCCCACTAAGCACTTAATAACAGGTGGTACCCAAGTCAGCTTGGTCCCAGTAGAACACAATGGGCAAGAGAAGAAGCAAGAAGAAATCCTTTGCACACCGCATTTCAAAACTCTGCCTGTGCTTGGACAAGGCTGAGCATTTTGCAGGAAGTCAACACAGTGGAATGGGAAGAGATGGGGCGGCTAGCATAACAAAAGAGAAACAAATTATTTCCCGTCCTGGCACATAGAATTCTATTACTGAACTCTAAATTCTCACCGAGCCCAAGCTCTGGTAACAACTTTAAGGGTCTCAGTGTAGTTTGGCGAAAAGCTGGGGGGAGAGGGGAATGTATGAACAGCAGTAATAGTCTATGTGTTTTAAATAATTTTTAATTGCTGAGGCAGTAATACCTGGTTCATGGAACTGCAATATACAGAGAAATGAAATAAATAGCTTTATAATATAATACATATATATTTATATATATATATAAAATATATGTATTACATTTATGTGCATAAATATAATACATGCATTCATATATATATATATAATAGAGCTGGTTTTTAAAATACTCCCTTATCATTGGTGTATTAGGTTATTTTACTTAGTCACTTGAAGGTCATTAGCAGCATTCTCCAGAAGTGAGCAGAACAATGCAGGATCACAGAGTCGTGACACCTTATGTCATTGAAAACATTACGAAGGATTGAGGTACTGAGCCCTCCAGGGAAGCCCCATGCCAGATCAGCAGATCTTCACATCTCAACCTAGTTTGCAGAGACAAAATAACCAAGGGCTGCAACACCAGAGAATTATCCAAGGATTTTTGGGGGTTGGATGGGGAAAGGTGTGGGGGGGAGAACTTTGGCTTTCTTTGGTTTTTGTGGTTTTGGTTTTTTAGTATTATTATTTTATTATTATTATAACATGACCTTTTTCCCCTCTAGGGATTGGCTTGAATATGTTGTCCATTTCAAACGTTGTCCATTCCCAGTGAGAAATAAAGCACCTGTATGTCAATCCACAGCACAAAAAAAGTCAATTTAAATAGAGCCATTCATTTTCCTTCTTCTTCTTCAAGTTACAATAAATCTTTTACAGCTTCCCCAGTGGATTTCTATTTTTAACTCAGTCTTTAAAAAAAATTAAAAAACAATGTACAAAAATAGAACCTCTCCCTTATTTTTAGTGTAAAAATATTTCTCTGGTACAGTCTATTCTTGTAGTTTATTTGCACGACACTGCCTTGGTCTTTTAACTGGGGTTGGTTGGTCGTATTCTCCTAGTCCTCTTCGTCACTGTGGTATACTTGAAAGGTTTCTGTAACTCCACTTGTCCCTTTGGGTATCGTTTCATAAAATGGACGTCTTGCTGGTTCTCCCGGGTCTTGGGCCCTTTCCGAGGCCTCCCTTTTTTGGTGAATCCAACATACCAGCCTGAGTACTTTGCTGACATCAGAGCCGTGTAGTTGTTCTCCAAGACTTTTTCAATGAAGACACATTCTTTGCTGGTGCCATCTGGCTGCAAATGAAACACAGAGAAGGTTTTTTTTAAAGAAGTTGACAAAGGTCTGCAAGCAAGGGAACAAATGTGGGCAGACCCCATCTATCAGAAGAGAAGCCACCAAATCACTACACCTGCAGCCTCCGTTGGGGGCGGGGGCAGAGGCGTGTCCAGAGGTGGTATTCAGGAGGTTCTGATGAGTTCTGGAGAACTGGTAGCCGAAATTTTGAGTAGTTCAGAGAACCGGAAAATTCCACCTCTGACTGGCCCCGCCCCCATCTATTCTCTGCCTCCTGAGTCCCAGCTGATTGGCTGGGTCTTCTTTTGTTGCCCTGCACAGGAGAATGGAGCTGGAAAGCAGCTTAGTGGGGTGGGGAGGGAATGGGGATTTTGCAATATCGTTCCCATACCATACTCACCAAGCCATGTCCATCAAGCCATGCCCACAGAGCTGGTAGTAAAAAAAATTGAATCCCACCACTGGGCATGTCCCTATATTCAGCTCAGGGTGGGCCAATGAAAGCATTAGTATTCATCTTCATTCTGAAACATGATTATCATTCAAGTCAGCTCGACTCGAAGAGGAAATGGGATTAATGACTTCCTCCTTCTAACCATATATATATATATTCTAACCATTCTATATATATTGAGGACAGCATGTGGAGGCACTTTGGTGGCTTTGCCCCGGTCCTTCAAGGGCCTTGTGTGAGCCTGAAGTCTCCGGCTAGCATTATAGCCTGCCCAGAGATACATATATGCCAAGATGATGGAGGACTGCCATAAAAGCCAACAGTCTGGCAAAAGTCACAGGACTGTTTCCTTTGGGAATGCAGCTGTCCTGTGGTTAGAAAAGGAGGTTCCTATTTTATATGGCTGAGGAAATATTTGTGAAATTATGGCTGAGTTTCTTTACCTGCCCATGAATAACAAAACCAGAATTATGCAGAGTTGCAAAGAAAAAAAAATCTGTAATGCAAATACCAATTTTGCAATCTAGTTTTTTGACATTTAATTTTTATTACCTAGCCGCTTGTTGTTATTGTTTTAAACAGCCTAGTACAGAAACACATTCTATAAATTTAACATGTTCAAGCAAAGTTTCCTACTTATCCCTACATTAAAAAGGATCGATCCATCATGCATGAAATTGTAACTGTCTCACTGCTGCCACCATAGTTGTATGCAGCCAAACATTTTCTTCAATTCCATGGTTGGCTAAGTTCTTTCCTAGATAAATTTTATCAGAGTTGCAATCATATGCGCATAGAAGAGAAGGTGTAAGATTGGTTTTCTTTCTTTAGGAAACCTAAATAGTTCATATTAAAAACTAGTTTAAAAGTATATACAAGTAATTCAGCAATATCAATGAAACACTCCAATCAGACAGAGTTAGGGGATAGAACCTAAGAAATCACATTCAGTTTCTCCATTATCATTCTCCATGTTCATCTATGCAAAATGGAAAGATCAAAGGTAACTTACTTATTTGAACTACACATATTGGATTTGTTTCAGAGATAAGTAATAATTGTAATGCTTATAATTTGTGTTGAAATAACACAGATGGACTATATTTGAGGATGTGTTTCTGCCAAGTTGGAGGCAAGGAGAAAATTCTTTAGCTTCTCTTTGGAACTGATCTATTGATTTCCTGCCAACACGCAGGGGAGTCACAGAGATATGATTCTAGAGATCTGAAGTAATACTGTATGCTTTCTCTTTGCACCAAAAACTTGGTTCTTTCAAGCAACTGTTACTGCTGCCAAATCAGCAACTTTCAGAACTATAAAAACACTGCCATCACTGATACGATTCTAGCTCTCTGCATCTAGACTTAAGCAATGTATTTTTTAAAAGGGTGGCGGGGGGAAGCAAAGTTAAGGCCAATCTAAAAACAAGGGGAAACTGTCTTCAATTCATATTCCAATACAAATTTAGTGTATAGTTCCCAAGCAATTTACAAATGAAACAGGGTTACATTTCAGTATTTGCACTTCTCTACACTTTGTGGCACGGTTCCCCAATAAAAGTGCATTAAAACATTCTACATGATTGCACACTTATTATATTTATTGTAAACATATATTTTATGTGTGTATTGTATGTTATGAGAAAATGCTTATGGAATTGCCTCTGTTTGGTGAAATGTGCAAAAAAAAAATCACCCCAAATTAATTTTATGAAAATTTTTAAAAAATAATATACAGATGCGGAAATGGGATAAAGTGAACATAAAAATGGATAAACAGGAAATTGAACAAATCCAAAATGGACAGATTCAACCATTCCTAGTCAAGGACGTGACAAAGATACTGGTCCAAAATAAATATTTAGTGCCTTGACTGGGAATGAAGCATATCCTACATCAGGCTTGTTTAAAATTATGTCTCTTGCTCTTATTATTAAAATAGAATTAAGTCAGTGGTGGGATTCAATTTTTTTTTTTACTACCGGCTTGGTGGGCATGGCAGGGGAAGGATACTGTAAAATGCCAAAATTTCCACTACCTGTTCTCCAGAACCGGTTAGAATCCGCTGAATACCACCTCTGAATTAAGTAGAATGTTGCTGTTGTCCCAGAGGTCCAGTTTGCACTTTAACATCTCAGGATAGCATCTGCTTTTAGGACGCCAAATTTGCATAAAACCGATAACCCCCCGCCCCAAATATGCAGGTGGTAAGACACATAAAAATCCCAACCATTATGGATTTGGTGGATTTGATTGTTTTTCACTCCATTCCCTGAAAAAGAAGAGGGGGGAGCTTATCTTCCATTCTAAGAAGCTAATTGCTCTCTCGTGTCTTTATTTTCAATGTTCACGTTAACCCCTACCTTCTCGGCTGCCACTTCCTTCCCCTGCGCCTGCTGGGATCACAACGCCACAGATGGTAGCTTGGCACTGGCAACAGCTCCAGCCTCAGACAACCCCTTCCTGCTGTCGCCACTGCCTTTCCTACCCCCCCCCCCAACCTCTTTTTCTTTGAAACCCTCCCCCATTCCATCCTCTCTCCTGACATCTTCTCTTATCGATCACAATCTCCATAGGAGAGCAAGCCCAGGCAGTGCGGAGCACCAGGCCAAGGCAGCTTCGTCTCCTAACAGAGAACGGCTGCACGCATCTAATCTCTGACATAATGTCTATGCCATTAGGCTTAAAGTCCTATAACGTGTAAAACACACCATACAGTATTGTCTTTTGTTGTCCTGTTTTAGCAAAAAGGTTATTCTTATGGCAGGGGCAGTGTTGGGGGAGGACTTAATAATAACGCTCACTCTCCTATTGGTCAACTGGATCAGCAGCTGATAGGCTGGTGGTGAGTCATGTCTTCGGTGTTCTGCTATTGGACAGCTGGAGGGGGTTGCTGTTAGCTCACAATGATTCAACCTGCTTCCTGGCTGGCCAGAACCCTGGCATTCATATAGTTGACTTTTGGGATAGAGAGGAGGGAAGGTTGTAGATCACTTTTTTGAGGCAATGAAAATAACATTTACTCCAGCAAAAGATGGAGGGTACACCTGACCATGGGGCACCCCTGACCATGCTCACAAGGCATGCTCACAAGGCATTTGGGTAACCTCTTCATAGCCACAACACTTGAAATGCGTTACAAGGAATTACATTTCTCTGTTTGAGGGAAATTCCAGGATGGAGAATGCTGTTTTTGGAACAGAAGAGCTGAGGTTGCTATGATTAAATCCTGAGCAGAAATGAATGGCAGGCGAAGGGGGAAGGAGAAGTCACTCAGTTCATGATGTTGTCAACTTCTTTGCAAGCAGGATGAATTTGGGTTCTGAGAAATAAGCTAGACATTCCTCAGTATGCAGCATGTGTTATACGTCCTGCTTTCCCCTTTATGATAGCTTTCTAATATGTGTTAATAGAAAATGCAGTGCGATGAGAAGAGACCTTTTTTTTCCTCCCTTGTGATGAGAGCCAACTCGCTTTCCTAACCTTTGATGCAACACACACACAACCTTAGTGAGCACTTGTACTTTTGTTATACATGTTCATAGTATGCAGTGCAGGAGGTCCATTGCCATCATGCTGGGGCAGGAGAGGGTTAAACTTCACCTCCTTATAGGAGTCCCTCTTCTCCTTCCTTCACATTTGTAATGAATCCAGAGAAAACAGGAGGTATGGTTTGCCTGCTAAGTATTGAAGGAAGGTTTGATTGGGCTCAGAGATAGATAATTAAGAACTTGGTGCTTGCATTTGTTATCACTTGTTATCACTTGCCCAGGAGATGAGAGCTGGTGAGAAAATATGTGTCCTCAGCTGCTGTGAAACATGTTAGATGCGAAAGTCCCCACCCGCTCTTGTAAGCTGGCCATTGGCAAATCCTGCTGTTTCACTCAGAAGCTGAATTATGGGGAAAGTGAGGAAGCCAAAATCCATAAGCCCTCCCTCTTATGTGCTCCCAAAATTTAAAAACATTAAGCTAGGGATTTATTACAATAATCTGAACATTATTTCACTGCCAATCACAACAGGGGACACATACTCATATATTTCTACCATTTTTCTTTACTTTCCATTGAACAGGCTCAAAATATACTAGCAGAATGTAGCTTACTCCATTATTTCTAAGGGCTCCATGAGATGATACCTGTATTAATGTAGTTATGCGTAGGGTTTTTTAAAAAAAAAACTATAATAAACCAATTTAATAAAAACACTCTAAATGCACATTCAGCATTAACTAGTTTAGTTTCAAAGCTTTATAGGCCATAAGTAGTGTTTTATTGTGGGAAAGAAAGATGTTTCTAGGAAGGATGAATAAAGAACGTTGGAAATATATGCCAAAAATATATGATCCCAGTGCAGTCACCCAAGCTGTAAAAGTTATCTTAGTCGCCCAGTTAAATTAAGCTACATTTTTAAAAAGATTTTTTTAATCCACCTATATTATTTTTATAAATAATGTAGCAAACATACCCAATACTCCTTCCACTTCCTATTTTCTCAACAACAATAACAAATAACCCTGTGAGGTAAGTTGGGCTGAGGGGGGAAT